CATGCTCCAATAAACACATTCTAGAATACACGTTCATCCTATTAGTCTTTTACAACAATATAAATATAATAAATAGACAAGTACAAGCTCTTCAGAGTATTGTTCTGACTGAACAAAAAAAGGGTAATTTGATTTAAATAATTCAATGAGGCATTCAAATAAGAATAAAAATTATGATCTTCTTAGAAATCATTCAGATTCAGAAAATGAACTCTGCAAATTTTCTTAGGTAGAGACTGCAAAAGCCATTGCACTGTTAGAAAAAATAACTACAATAATGAGTGAAGTAAGCAACTGAATATGGCAGAGTTACATTTCATAATATGATAACAAAAACATGACACAATTTCTATGTTAATCAGTTGAATCCATGAAAACATGATTATAAGTGGTCTATTAGACAGCCAATATTTTTCATTGAGCAAAGGATACGAGTAATCTGTTTGGATTTTATATATATTTAATAAATATGATTTATTTTTTCATAAAACCATTCTCCAATCACAATGTATTTTTTCTGCCATTAGCATTCTATTTTTATTTTGCATAAAATGATAATTTAAATATATATTTCAGTTTTCCAACATTGGTAGCCAATTTACTTTGTTGTAATTTTGTAATCGTGCTTCATGTGCTCTTGGCATGTGTACCAGAAGAATAGAATACAAATAAATAATTAGTACCATACCCAGTGTACCAGTAGAGAATTGTTTGTTGATTTTGAAGCATCTACAGTCTTTGAAAAATTTGAAAAAAGGAGTAGTAGATCTGCATTAACTATAATACATTAACTGTGATAGGAATTAGGAAATATATATGGAATATTATGGTACTTTGAAAATAAACTAAGCTGTGATTTATGCCAATTTTTTACGCATAGGCTGCTGTACAGATAACTAAAACAGCATGAGAATAAAAACAAAATATTAAAAAGGAAATGGTACGGACATGGAATCAATTGTTAGGCATGCAGCAGCATACAGAGAGATTAAAAAGGTATTTTAAAAATTATATAAATACATCATACTATATTTTAGGTCATAAATGATTATTGTTTGTTTCAAGGGCTACTTTTTTGGAAATTATAAAATTTTTCATTTTTCTCTGATATTTGACTACCAAAACCCGGTACATTTTAAATAACCATTAATAGTGTATATATTTTCGTAAGCACTAGGTTTTGTAGCAATTAGCAGTTCATGAGAAAGTTTCTAAATAGGAAGAGCCGTATCTGTTTTTTCAATAATGTTATTCTTAAAATTAATTTTGGTTCTTGTAAGTAAGTAAATAATAACCAAACTTTGCAATTACAGAATGTTAATAGAAAGAAATTGTGCTACAATTTGTAGGTAAACTTGTTTATAATTCATATTATAAGGAATCTTAAAAAAAAATCAGATTTAAAAATGAATCTAAATGTACTTTTAGCTATCGAACATGACATGTGAGTGGCTATAAAGATGTTGTGACTGTGAGAAAATTGGTTTGGCTTCTCTACCTACAGAAGACTTTTGGCTTTAGAGGATTATATATAAATATCTCCCATGAACCAATCCAGGATAAGAATGTTTACGCCCTATAGAAATGTAAACAATGAACATGTGGAATAGTAATATAGAAATAATCGATACATTGGAAAATAGAGAGCAAATGCTAATTTGTGTACAGGACAAAAACTATGGACAAAGCAACTCATATGGGAAGATGGTTTGACTGTGGTCTATCTTTATTAATAAATGAGAAAATTGTCACGTTAATCAGAAATGTACATAAAATGCATTTTTAAAATACATTTTGATCTGAACAAATCAGCAACCCTAGAATGAAAATAGTCATGAATTCTAGTGAGTTCTCTGTTCAATCTATTCAAATTCAAAGGGGCTTGCAGCAGGGTAAACTGGGAGCAGGCAGCAGTGAGGATTCAAGCAGCATTTAAGAAGATGCCATTTATTCGACATAACTGTTTCACTCTTCTAACACAATTGTTAAATTAAACTAGGTAAAAAATTCAAATCCAAATCTCCACTCAGCTATCTAACCCTCTGAGCGATACTGGTTCACAAAATAGTGAAATAGTTCACAAAAATATGGTTACAACAATACTGGTGAGGGACATTATATAACATTCCTGAAATTTCTTGGGGATAAAGTAGGACATATTGGAAAATTAATATGATACCTAAAATAGTTCTAAGATGGTCAGTGCTTGGATTTGAAAACTTTAGCATCAAAGCCATAACACCTGACACCAATCTGCTTGAGGCACATTTTATTTTAATTCCATAGCCTTGAATTTGAAAGCCATATCTTCAGCATAGGAAGTAGCTTTCCATTATGCCAGTGGCTTAAAAAGACACATATGGAAAATTAATTAATCGTTATACACACTGAAATGCTTCTGATCTTCCTTTTAAAGCAATATAGCAATTCTTTGCTTCAAGCCTACATAATATTTTTTGAATCTTTTTTGTGCAAAAGAAAGGCAGCACATAATCAAAGTTATGAATTATGAAGAATTATTCTAAAATGTGTTTTATTTGGTATTCACTGTCCACCATCAGCTTTTAATTAAATTATATGGCTCTCAGTAGGAAAAACTGGAATGCTGTCCATTTATTTTATTACTATTCCTACTGGCAAATATGACTTTATCAACTACATAGCAAATATCCTTGCATAGTATGGAATATGTTTCCAACACAGTTTTGTAATGAATGTGCTCCTCAGCAGTTTGCCCACTCAAGATATTCAAGTTCTAATTCTCAGGACTTCACTCTAGGACAAACTTATTTGATGCAGATACTGTTCAGTCTGGTATATTTCATTTTCCAAATTCAGTAGCTGACTAAATGTGACCAAAGCAAAGTGAAATAACAAATTTACATTAGCAAGAAGAAATAATAAAAGAAATATTTCCAAGGCAATAGTCATTTGATATTCAAGTAGATGGTATGCACTCTAGCATGCAGAGTTTAAGCAATTTAGCATCTTTTGGGGAAGCCAAAAACATCCTGGGTCTCCTGCAGAATTCATTATCTAAATGATTTTTCTAAGTAGGAAAAGTTTGCAAATTCAACTATAGTTCTTTGCTAAATATAGTTTATAATATTATATATAAATTCTTTCATATTCTAACAATGATAACTTGACAATACTCCAGTAAAAATATGCACATCCAGTTTGAAACTGTAAAACTGAGAATCACTATGGCCTCTTTTTCAAGACAGTGTCTAGCACTACTGATATTAGATCCAAGACTCCAGGCTAGAAATTAGGAGTCTGTGAATTTTAGTCTCGTTTTAGGCATAAAAGCCAGTCGGATGACCTTGGGCGAGTAACTTTCTTTCAGCCAACCTACCACACAGGTTGTTGTGGGAAAATAAGAGGAGGAAAGAGTATTAGGTATGTTTGCCTCCTTGAATTATTTATACAAATAATAAAGTCAGATATAAATAAATAAAAATAAATGTTACAATACGGGTGCCTGTTTCTACTAGAATGTATGTTAACATAACTTTTTTTGAGAACTATTGATGTGTCTGCATAATATGTTCCAAACATCATCAAAAATAGCTTAGAGGTTTGTTGAAATAGGCAACAGGTTATTAAGTTTGACTAGACACTTGAATATTAAATATAAATTAAATAAAATATTTAATTTAATATTAAATATTTAAGAACCCTTTTTCCCCCAAGTTGCTCCATTTCTAGTTTTGCATTTGTAAAATATTCTGATTGAATAACTAGGAATTATAGTCCAAAGCATATAAAAGTATCAAATTGCTAACAGCTGTTTTGATGTTTTTTCAAAGGCATGGGTTTAAATTTTTATTTATTTTAAGAAAATTTGTATGGCTGTTTAGTCACTCTCAGTGATTCTGGGTGGCTTACAAAAATAAATTCCATATTAATAGTTGTTTAATCTAGAATAGGAGAAGATAATATTCTTAAACATTTTAAGAGCAATTACGAAAAAAATGGACTAGACTACTGCTCCAAAGGGAAGTACAGAAATCATAAAGAAACAGAATTAATTTCTGGAAATTATAAAAGTAAGAACTGTGCAACTATAGAGCAGATTTACTTGGATGGGATAGGATTTCCTTTTGTAAGAAATACTAGATATCATCTTAATGAATGTTTTACATTGAAAACCATGTATTTAGTAATGCTCTTTAATGTCTTTAGTTATGTAGTTTATGTGTTTAAAAAGAAATCTTCCCCTCCAAATGCAAGAATCTCTACAGCAATGTTCTTTCAATATACGGTATGGAGAAGCACAAAGTTGACAAAGCATGATGAATGGTAAAACAATGCTGTCAAAACATTCACATGATCCTTGATGAAAGCAGCATTGTGAATTAGCCCACAAGTAACATGGCTGTTCAGACATGAAAGCATGCACCTTTTGAGTGAAGGGAATTATGTCCATTTGAAAAAACTAGGGCCATTCTTCCAAGCATACTTGGGGATTTAAATCTGGTTCAATGGTGGAACCTGATAAGTTAATGAGATGTAAGTGGTTTGTCAAAAGGGAGAAATTCAGCCATTGTTGGTACATATATACATTAGTTTACCCATGAATCTCAAAGGATTTCTTGACAGGTTAAAGTCCCTTTTTTGAGGACTTGCTCTATCTTAAAGCCAAAAGGGCTATTAGACACAAATCTACGGATTTACTTAAATATAGCCAACATAAACCTGTGTTCACCTTTGCCTTGAGTTAGCTCTTCTTTTTTTTTGGTTCTTTGCAACAGGCTTCTTTTTGACCGAAATTATTGCTGTACTTAACACGATCTACGGGTTTGGCTCTACACTGTAATGCACATACAATTATTTTATGGGTCTGTATTCCATAAGATATAAATGCTACTATAATGCAAATAATTTGCACTATTTTAACAGTTAAATATTCATACTAAAATCAATGTATATATGCCAACAATCACTGTTATTTAAATTAGAAAATAAATATCTAATTTTACATGTTTAACAATTACCTGATACTTGTTTTTCATTCCATCCACTTCACCCTATATTTAACACATAAGGTATTTTGCAGTTAGTAGAAATGAAAAGTACAGGGCAAGATCTAGTTAAGCATTAGTTTCAAGGGGAGAGAGCAAGCCCACACTTCACAGATGGCAGGCAAATCCAAAATCTTAAAACTGAAAATTCCTTGAGAAATATTAGGAACAAAATACATTGCCTTTATATTCTGTAGCAACTCTACTCTTATTCATTAAAGACAGAGTATGTTCTTTCGGAAACCAATTTGAAAAAAAAAAGAATGCAAGAGGAATCTGCATATTAGTCTTAAACGTACTCTCTTAACCTAAATTAAAATTATATGTTACTGTAGTGTTTGTTTGTCCTGTGTGGAAAAAGCATATTGCTTTCAGTAAGGAATGTGAAGCATGATAAAGTCTAAAGAAAAGGTCTAAAGAAATCTTTCTTCTTTTTCCTACTTTTATTAGTCTAACTACCTCCTAAGAAACCCATCTTTATGTAAGTAGTATATAACTTTGTTTCTGCTTGCAAAACCCTTTGTACAAGGTATCACACATTTTTTCACAAGTGATTGTGATTTCATTACACTGTAACTAACACTGATTGCTCAGGTAATGTTTGCACAACATCCAGTAAAATCTGGAAATGTCTAGGAAAACAATATCACCTGTTCTAAATTATGAATTATGCAAAACTAGCTAAATAACTACTGAACACTGTTTTTAAAAAGGCTGACCAAAATCAAGTTATATAGCTAGGTACTATCAATGGCTATAATATTTTTGACAGTAACCATATTCAGAGTCCTGGATTTACATGTGATAATTTGTCCTATTGCTGCTTTAAAATAAACATTCTATTCTAGCAGATTTTCTTAGAGGCTTTTTTATACTTCAAAAGATACCGAAAAACTGAAACTGAAATTTTATTATGTATCACCACTATAATTCTTAGTGACCAAATTGACAGATTTTCTCCAAGATAATCTATCCCCAATTTGGCCCTTCAGGTCCTCAAATGGTGGACCCATCACCACTGTAATTGAGTTATTCTAGATTAGTGAAACTAAAATGTGACAGACAATTAAAAGTTTATATTTCATTTTCTTTAACCCCAGATTCTGTTGCTTTCTATAATAATAACCTGTTTGAATAACAGTCTTCAAAAGTAGATATTCAAATAATATATTTTTAAGATTATTAAGAAAATCTTTCAGCAGAAGCAATATTGGCTTTTTAATTCATATTATTGCCCATAGTAGTGATGTTCATATATGCACTATTTGTAAAGCATTTTCCATTTTTAAACTTTCCTATAAAGAGAGAATATTTCAAATAAATCAGCACAATGAATGTGATGGTTCTTCAACAGCCACTTTTAGTGACAGAAAAGCCAAAAATCACTTGTGTCCCATATTAACAAATGTTCATTGACCTGCAAAGAGGAAAAATGCTACTTTTTATCGCAGGCTATACATACAGATCCTCAGTTCTTTTCCATATATTTCTCAAGCTATCCTATCTCAAATCAGACAAAGACATCGCTAGTATGGTTCACCATATCCAAGTCAAGGGAAGCAACAAAAGAAGTCAGGAGATCCTCAGCAATGCATACAATTGGCACAATATAGAATGATTAATCAATTTTCAAGGCTACTTAAAATTGAGAGTAAGGGTGTTTGGGTGAAACAACTGTTTTGTCCTCAATAGCTCTAAGATCTCCTTCACTTTTGTACTTATACCTGTGCAAGAATTAGATTACTCTGGAACTAAAAGAATTATACATTTATGCTCAAAATGTTTACATTAAGTTGATGACTTTAACAGTAGGTGAATAAATATTATTTTTTTTCTTTTTACAATCCTGTAATCCCTTTTATCAGGGTGGTGTTGGGGGCAACTGAATGGAGCTGAACGTTTACTGGCTGGATACCCTTTCTAATGCCTACACAGAGATCGCAGCAGATACTTTCTATTTGTGCCCTGATAGAGAAACAGGATTGAACTCTCAACCAACTGGGAGGTGACCATATTCATCTCTAGGCCACCACACTGCTCGGGTGAGTAAACACTAATATTTTCTTATAATTTTCATTTGGAACAATCCTTTCTGACTCTGATTTCACTTGTATAAGAACACTGTATGCAAAAACTAAAAGCTAAAAAGAAAGCATTGCTATTTCATTATTTGAACATATACACGAAACTGCTGATGTGTATAGAAAATAAGCTTTAATGGTGGAAAGAAAAAGTGGTGTTGACAAGTTGGTTCTGCAGTCTGCAATTCATTGTCATAAATAAAGAAAATCGATCAGGTAAGATTTACTTACTTTTCCATTTCCAATGGATTTCTCTCATGCATGGTCCATCGGAATGTCTGTGTTTGTGTGAGCTACGTATATATATACATATATAAGTTAATGTTAAGGCCCCAACTAAGAATTCCAATGTGCTGGCTTTTCTCTCACACAGAGAAATGTGGGATAAAAAAGAGAAATCATGCACTAATTAAAAGTTAGATGGGGAAACACAGTCATCAGATGGACTGCTACACACGATCTCATCCCACAGCTGGGTTTTATGCAAGTAATAAAAAACTGTTTGCAACTGATAAAGGTATTTTCTGGACTGAGCCCAAAAACTTGTAAATCTTGGAAGCACTCATTAGATAATTAACACTTGCAGTGTACAAACATGCCAAAAGACCTTTAAAATGAAAGTCATTGCACTGTTTTACTTAAAGTGAAGTATTATTCAGCAAAATGGATTATGATACTACAAAACAGAATAATTGTTTTAAAACTGATGAGATACTGCTTTATGATGAACTATTATTAACAAGAAATCTTTATAAAGCATTTCTTTCTAATATTATTTGCTCATTTAAATGCCATTACATTTTCCCATGCTGAAAACAGATAAAAATTAACTTAGATTATCACAAACAAGAGGTAAGATTGCTACGTACCAAAGATCTGTTTTTTAAGTTAACATTGCTGGCAAAACACATTATTAATAAATTATTTCTATTCATGTTGCTTTCAGGTATTTATCTGCAAGGAGTTTTAGTCTGAAATATTGCCTAGAATAATACTGTAGCCATTTTTAGTTCACTCAGAAAGCAGACCATTTAAATGTTTTTCAATGTCCAGAATCTGAGTTCTGTCAAAGAATAGGTCAAAAGAGTCATCATGATGCCTTTTGAAGCTATACCCCTCTTTTATGAACGTAAAAAGTGTTGAAGATTTAATTGTGTGGCTGCAGATACCATTTTGATCTTTTTTACTTCCTCCTGCAAATATACTTGTTCAAAACCAGTGAATGGTTATAAGGATCCTATGCCAAAAATTATATATTTACCCAAAAAAATTGATTAATAACATTCACTGCATAACTTAATCTTCCATTTGAAAAGGAAAATTACAACCTTGTTTTGTTTCACAGCTTAAAATAGTCTATTTCAAAATTCATGTAAATTATATACAAAGACTGAATCTATCAAAATACATCTATCAAAAGAATTAAGCACAGTCAGCAATAATGCACTGTATTTACATATATTTTCAATTGTATTTCCAATTTCATTTTACAGCATCTATTAAACCAACATATACAGAATATAGGCCTCTTATAGTAAACAATATAGCAATATAGTATGATTCAATGAATTGTCACAGACCTTCACCATTAAACTCTTAAGAAGTATAGAACATTCTACATTACTAAGAATACAATACAATGACTTGAATAATTGTAAATATCATTGTATGCTTTGCCAAAAACAACTATAGTTATACAATTATACAATCATAGCAGCATGAATTTTGACCTTTAATGTTTTAGTAGGAACTGAATGTGAGCTTTTGTAAACTATTTTTCAAAATCTTATCCGCATTTTCATAAGACTCATTAACTTACTTTAGATGAGGAAGAATCACATTCTTGACAAATCCATCCATAGCCAGTTTGCTTTGGAGATTTTTTCAAGGGAGGATCCAAACAACCAAAATGATAGCATAGTCTGCATTCATCACATCTGCATTAGAAACAAAATACTTATTTCATGCTGAATATTATATTTAGATAAGAATTGTGAATCAACAGAAATAAATCATGAAATCTGAAGAAATCTTACAATGTAATATATATAATTACATACTACTATATGTTGACAATAAATCTAACCAATGATGGAGGTTTATATGGACACTAGCACTCTTAGTGTCTTCTCAACTGATAGTTAACTTATCAGACAATGTTCATGTATTAGTATTACAATAACCATTTTTATTAACATATCAACTATGTTGTAGAAATAAAGAGCAGGTATCAAGAGAGCCCATCTTTTAATAGAACTTTTTTTGTAAAGAAAACTGGGAATGGGAGTGATTTATATATTTCTTTATACACTCTTTGTACCTGCAATACCCGTTCTGCACGGTACATTGATATCTGAGGAAATGCAGGGAAAAAGGAGAAAGTGTAAAAATCCAGTCATGCAAGGATGTTTCTGCTCATTCAATTTTATATTCCATTTACAGCTTGATAAAACAAACAAAAACAAAGAAATATGTAGGTCTCATAATATGAAAAATCTGTATAAACATCTTTTCAGTGAATGAAAATAAACGCATATAGAATTCTGGATAAAGAATATATTTTCAATATTCAAATCTTTTTACATGGTATGAAACAGTTTTGGAGATATTTTGAAAAAGAATGTATGACAGGATCATGCTTGTTCATCATATGAATTGGTTTTTCCTCCTTCATTAACATCTTTTTGTGAAACATTAAAAATCAGTTTGAGTAACAGGTGCATAATCACCTACACGTATTGTAATTTTTTATAAGAAATTTGTCCAATTTCTGCCTCAAATATAATAAGAACTACTAATATTAAGCTGAAGTTATTATAGAACAGGGCTGTCAAACTCAAGGCCCAGGACAGAATCTGGCCCGTGGGGACACCCTGGAAACAGCGAAGGACCTCCCCGCAGTGCCTCTGCCAGCGAAAATGGAACTTGGGAGGTCTGCATAGGGCCCTCCCAAGCTCCGTTTTTGCTGGCAGACGGTTATAGGAGACCATCGTAGCTGAAAACAGAGCTCAAGAGCCCATTTTTACTGGCAGAGCACTCAGCCACCACAGGTTCCCCCTACACAAGTGATGCCGAGCTGGCCATGCCCACTCTGGCCATGCCCACTCCGGCTCCCTGAGGTCACATACAACCCTGATGCGGCCCTCTATGAAATCAAGTTTGAACACCCGTTATAGAAGAATTAATCAACAAACTACATTTGTCTGCAAACGTTGCATTGCTGAGAAATGTATGCATAATGTGTAAGAAGAATTGCAACTAATAGTAGTCAGATTCCAGGGGACAGGACTTCAGATGAAGCATTTCTTTAATGGCTCCCTGTCTTCCTCCCCTTCGATCCTATTAAAATTTTAGTTATTAATACGGTACATTAAATGAACATTTTAACACGCTGAATACACAAAATTACCGTCACATGTTAACTTATGGTCAAGAATAATCAAGTATTTATCAACCTCACAAATGATTAAATTGAGTACTTTTGATCCTACGTGGAGCTAGTTTAGCAACTTGCCTATCACATGATGCAGCAATTTCTAAAAACAGGACGAAAGATTTAAACTCTTCCTATCTTGTCATGAAAAACAGGATAAATTCATGTATATTTAAGATGAGAAATATTAAATGATATTGCTTTCTGAATTACTATTAAATTAGAATAATGTTTTATTTTAAATTAGAATAATGTTTTAATTTTCCAATCATACAGTTAAATGCAATTTGTCACAGTCAAATCAAGGGGTTCAATAATATATGTATCTTAAAAAGTACTTGAGAGTTTTTTTTTAAGAATATGAACTTAGGTTAAATCTCTCTTCAGAAAGAGAGTTTGAGTAGACACTTCCATACATTTTTTTTGATTAATCAAATAATAAATTTGTTCTTTAATCTTCATTTGCTCATGTCCTTGAAAAATTTTTCAACAGTTTGGTCTGCTTTCTCCTGTTCATAATAAATAATTATTTTGATATTATGACCTAATTTCAAAATCTGAAAAAGATAAATGAATAATATCTAGAGAACAGACTCATTCTATTTAGAATTAGCATGCACATTATCCAATTTCATTATTTGCCTATCTACTCAGGGGAGACTCTTATCAGCAGGCCTGTAGAAATCTAAGAATAAATTTGGGGGCACAGAAGACTTACACCTATCTAACTGAAAAGTTGAAGAAAACTGTGGCTATAATTTGCATATCTATGTCACTATAATTTTATGCAAAATTCAAAGCTTCCAAAAATTAAAAAAATATTTTTTTCCAGAGTAAGATAGTATATTTGCTGGATCCAAAATGTCAATTTATATTGACTGCTTCCTAATAAGATTTGATTGCTTATTTGTACCCTATGACTATCATTAAGTGTTATACCTTATGATTCTTGACGAATGTATCTTTTCTTTTATGTACACTGAGAGCATATGCACCAAGACAAATTCCTTGTGTGTCCAATCACACTTGGCCAATAAAATTCTATTCTATTCTATTCTATTCTATTCTATTCTATTCTATTCTATTCTATTTCTATTCTATTCTATTTCATTATTCCATTCCATTCCATTCCATTCCATTCCATTCCATTCCATTCCATTTTTTTGACTGGAAAATTTCATATTTATTTTTATTCCTTGTACTTTATATATTTATTTAGAGTATGGCTAAATAAATAAATAAAAGTGCAATAAATAAAAATATGCCGACATAAAAAATATTCCTTGAACAGTACATTTTATTGTAATATTTTACAATGAAACATTTGTCCCAACTTCTACCCATTTAAATCTGTTGTTGATTTGCCTGAATTTACTGCACAAAAAAGTAGTAATTGTGTACGGAAGCGTAATAATGATTCTGAATCAAAAACAGATTCAATACATACATAAATTGCAAATTGGAATTTGAAATGCAAAGGTTGAAAATAAATACCTTATTATAAATCTATCTCTTAAAAATTCTGACTATAAATTTAAATATCTCTTCTAATCTCTATGATAAGGGGAAGAAATATTTCACAGTACATTTATATTTTTATATAATAAAAATGTTATCAAGCAAATTGTTATCAAGGACGTTAGCTTTCAATTCGTTCCATAAATCTGTTGCTTATTTATTATGTTAAGTTTACCAAATTTAACATCAATCTATCTATATTATAGGCTCCTTTGGCTAGGAAGCTACATTTGACAGGGTGTAGGCAGTATCCTCATTGTGAAAGGTTGGCCTCAGGGGAGGTATCCCTTAAGACCTGATTATGTCAGCAAGCATAAGGGGACCCCGGGAATATCCCTTCCTCTGTTTTGTTTCTTTATATAGTTTTTAATGTTTTTATAATTATGACAATGGTTTTATATATTTATACATTGTTTTTAGTTCTGTTGTATGCTTCCAAGAGCTGATTTTGGTAAAATTTATTTAGTTATTTATTTAAATTTGATTTATATGCCCCCCTTCTCCGGAGACTCAGGCGGCTTACAATGCGTTAAGCAATATAATGAGCAACTATACAAATTAAATAAATAATAAAACAGGATTTTTAAAAAACACTTCTTTATTTGGGAATTTTAAAAATCTGCCTGTGGTTTAATTTGTAAAGTAACTAAACATAAGGTATTTTCATTTCATTATATTAGTTGTTAGTTTTTCAGATGAAAATGTCATATATTAGCATTTTTGGTACTCTAAGTGTTATGGATCTTTACATGGCTATTTGACAAATCTGTCTTCTTAAATTTTCAAGTGACTCTGGACATTCAAAAATATAATTATTCATCACTGAATGTTTCTTGCATATTTCATGTAATATTTAATGGTTGTCTTTGATTTCATCCAGTGCCATTGCAACTGTTTGATTCATAGAAAGCTGTCATCTTAAGTTTGAAGGGAAATGAAGTTTTGAAGGAACTCAATCTTTTAAAACTAGTAATTAATTCTCAGAAGTTTTTCCTATGCCTAACAAACTTAAAATATTTAAAAAACAATCAAGATGACAAGTACTGGAATAATAAATAAAGTTAAAAAACATTAATTTATTGGCAATTGTAGAAAAAAGATATAATATGTTAAACAAAATCATATTGAAAATGCAAACAAACCAGGGAAACATCTAGCATACCAAATTAGAAAAGAGGAAGGAAGAAAAATGATAAGTGATAGAAAAAGAGAACAAATTGCTAAATAGAAAGATTGGAAATAGCAGAAGAACCTTTTTTTTTAAAGACCCACACTCAAAGAATAAAATAGGTAAAGAAAATTTGAAAACCTATATACAAATATCAAAATCTAGGACTTCTGGCAAACTGAAGATGGTTCCATGAAAAGTTAATCCAATAACTGTGAAGAATGAAGAGCCACCAAGTAGACCAGTTCTTTGTAATTCTTCTCTGGACAAGGAGAGGGTTTAAGATCATCTACAAGTACTCCAGACAATTGTGCCACACAAGGAGAACTCAAGACAGTGGTTTCTATTGGGTTTAAATATGTTGAGTGAATAATATTTTTGCTGAAACTGTAGACAGTTCCTTTAAAAGGACACTGAATTTGCACACTTCCCTTTCTAATTACATTCAGAAATTGTTTGTTAACTTTACAACTATTAGAAACATTTAGATTGACATGTTTTATAGTACTGGGTATAATGATATGTGGGAAGACTGGGTAAAAAGATGCTGCTAAAGGAATGATTAATTAAGAAATAGCATAGCCTACATTTAGCTAGTAGGTGGGGTGAAAGAAGAGATCTTCCTTCCTTCCTAATTTTGTAAATGAGACATGAGAAGAATTGTACTTTCAGATTTGCAAGATTCTGTCAATGTAGCTTTATAATAAAGTAGAATGAGCTCATATGCTTGTGATTGTTTTATTCCCAAAATATTGTACATTAATGCAATATTTATTGAAACAATATCTTGTTTTGTTCATTATGTACCAAATGTGTAA